TGGCTTCATAAAACCTCATTTCAGTGTGTGTGTGTGTGTGTGTGTGTGTGTGTGTGTGTGTGTGTGTGTGTGTGTGTTGAGGGCCGGCAGGTGTTGGTGTTGAAGGCTTGTTGGTGAAGCACTACCGTAGTTCAGCCACAGTTGTTTGTGTCAGTCCTCCAGTTAAGCTTTGCGTGGCTTCTGGTAACCAGTTTAATTACTTCCTATAATATGTATATCTATACGTGTGTGTGTGTGTGTGTGTGTGTGTGTGTGTGTGTGTGTGTGTGTGTGTGTATGTATGTGTGTGTGTGTGTGTGCTATTCAGTTTTTGCTTTTCTTTTTGTATGGTTATATACTCTGTCTATCTGTCTGTCTGTCTGTCTTAATTTGCATCTATCTCTCTCTTTCTTCCTCCCACTTTTTACTTTCATTTATTCATTTTATGTGTTTCTCTTACTCCCTTCTTCCCATTCACTACACATCCCTCCTTATTTTACCCTACCTGGTATTTAATTAGCTCCGTTCCTCTCCCCTCTTTCCATCAATCCTTCCTGTCTCTCTATTTGTCTGTGCTTGGCTGTTTGTCTGTGTCTCTCTCTCTCTCTCTCTCTCTCTCTCTCTCTCTCTCTCTCTCTCTCTCTCTCTCTCTCTCTCTCTCTCTCTCTCTCTCTCTCTCTCTCTCCCTCTCTCTTGACAAGGAGTTTGATTACCTAGCCTCCCATTCTCCAGAGCAAAACACGGTCATAGATTATTGAATTTATTCCCTTATCTAGCTCCTGTTTACCTGATCCGACACACTCAGGTAAATCTAATTACTCGGTTACGTAGTAGTGGATCCTCGGGTGGCCGCTTCAGACGATAGGACTCGAGTATCCTTGCTATAGGACTGTAGGATCTAATGCCCCTTGATATATAGCTTGACAGAGATCCTTGAAGATACATTGAGAAGAGAGAGAGAGAGAGAGAGAGAGAGAGAGATTCTGTTTCAACCATTAAAATAGTTTCCTTGTTTATCAATTAATCTTATTAACTCAAATCCCAGACTCTTATTACTGATAATATTAACTTTACTGTATAGTGTTTCTCTCTAGTCTCAGATACGAGTTGATGATTATTTAAACTTCATTAATTAATCGTCTATGTTTTTATTTAATTCTACTCAAAACTTTTCATCAATGATTAATTATTTATTAATTTACATTTATGCTTCCTAACCCAACCCAACCCAACCCAACCCAACCCAACCCAACCGAAATTTATTCATAACAAAAGTCAGATATTTTCTCATTCTCGATTTTTATTTTTTCCGTCTTGTTATCCTGAGTTCCCATCACAACATCACGGAATCGACAATCAGAATCACTTGTTCCTAATATTCCTCTCATCGCTCCCTCTCCCTCCTCTCTTTTCCAGCCAGTGATTATCATCCCCACAATCCTCCAAATCATCATGAAATTGACACCTTTTTCGCTTCCTTATCTCCAATCACCTCCAATCCCTCGTCACTAATCATACCCCGTCCAATCCTCTGAATCCTCTTAAGGCCGACTCTTCTTCAAGTATCCATCCATCCATCCATCCATCCATCCATCCATCCCCGACCAGCTCAGACGACATCTATTTCAGGCGTGAATGATTTCCGACGAAGGTTTTTCATAAGTTTTCGTTCTTGTCTTTTAATGGCTGGTCACTATTATTGTCGCCCTTCATTAATTGGATGAGGGACTTGTTGAGAAGGAGAGGTGATGGGGAGGAAGGTGAGGGAGGGAGGGAGGGTGGAAGAGAGGAAGAGAGGTGGATGGAGGGAGGAGGAGGTGGGGTGAAGGAGGGAGCAGGTAAGGAGGGGTGATGAAGTAGGTTACGGAAGAAGAGATGAGGAAGGAGGTTAGGGGGAGGAAGAGAGGAGGTAATGGGGAAGAAAGAGCAGGTAGAGAGGAATGATGGGAGGGTGAGGTAGTGAAGGAGGGGAGAGAAGCATAGGGTGAGGGAGATAGGTGAGGGGGCAGGAGGGGGTGGAATGAAGGAACAGGTCCGAGGATTGATGAGGAGGGGGGTGAGGAAGAGAGAGAGAGGTGGGGGGAGGAGATGGTAAATGAGGAGGCGAAAGGAGGGAGCGGGTAGAGATGGGTGATGAAGAGGGAAGAGAGAAAGGTGATGGGGAAGGGAGAAAGCGGTGATTGGCGAGTAAAGAAATAGTAAACAGGGGGAGAAATAGAGGCTGTAAAAATGGAGAACCTTGTGAAAGGTGAGAGGAAAACGGGGGAGAAGATTGGATAAGGAAGTGGATTAAGGGAGGGGAGAGAGGGAGGGAGGGAAGGAAAGAGGACGGTGTAATCAGCAAAGAGGAAGAGAGGAATAGGACGGGGAGGAGGAGAGTGTGAGTGGTGTGTTCTTCAGATAAAGTGTAGAAAAGGGGAATTGTATCCACTCAGACGTCCCCAGGGAAGGAACATCTTACTGTACTATGGAAAGTTTATGCGTATAGATTTGTATCATTGTGAGAGGAGCAGCTCGCCTGGGGGATGTATAGAAGGGATGAGTCAGCGAATTATTATTAGAGTCAGTGTGGGCGATGATCAGGTGTCGTCTGCACTCGTTATGGGGACGTCTGTTGTTGTTTAATGACATGGAATTGAAAGGTTTCTCGTGTATCGTCTCTCTCTCTCTCTCTCTCTCTCTCTCTCTCTCTCTCTCTCTCTCTCTCTCTCTCTCTCTCTCTCTCTCTCTCTCTCTCTCTCTCTCTCTCTCTCTCTCTGCAATTGAAAAAAGGGATAAATATATATGCGCTCTGAGAAACCAAGAGAACTAATATATGTACACAAGAGGAAAGACGTGGAGATTTCCCCACCCCCTCTTAACTTGTAGATAACTCGTATAAAATTACCAGACTCAAACATGGGGGAAATTTTACCTCGTGTACAGTTATGTAAAAACTTATATCAATTTTGATCTCATAAATAAACTCCCCAAGTAAATAAGATTTTTCTTTCGTAAGGTCAACTTAGATCAAATCTATCACTCTCAGCCTCTGACTGAAGCACAACTTTTACGTAAGCCTTAATAAAGTAGATATTTCTCTGTAGTGTGCACACGAAAAAAATCACTAAGCCCTGTAAAGCCCTCAACCGATCTTCTTTAGTTTTCTGTAGTTTCAAGTTCAGAAATAAAAAAAAAGTATAGAACTAAACTTACCTATTCGAAAAAAAAAAGAGATTTCTCTGTAGCGAACATGAAAAAACCCAAATCCCTTTAAAGCCTTTGACAGATTCAATAGTTTTTCAACAGTCTCAACATCAGAAGTAAATATTCATGTCCAGCATTGAATAAAGTGATTTCCCCAGAGCCCAAACCGAAAGAATTTTCCGTTCCTTAACCCGTCAAAGTCAATCAACTTTATCACCTAAATATATAATAATTCTTTCCCAGATGAATCACTTTTCCCGTGTAAGTAAAGAAGGTGATATAAACAGACCTAATACATATCGTTTCAGTTTTAATATACCAAAAGGTAAGAATTATTCAGGTAACTTTTGTCTAGACACAAGAGGTAACTTTCCTCTCAATCCCAAACTCCAGAAAATTATTTACATACAGTACATGTCGGCCAACTTGATCTTAACTATATCAAAAGGGCCAAATTTCCCATTGACATTAATCTAAACACTAGGAACTACTTCCCTCTGTCAACAAAAACTTTCCTGGGTCTTTCTTCAAAGGAGTATTGAAAAGAACATTAACCTCATCCAAGGGGACATTTTCTTTCCAATAGGGACAGTTTCCTTATTGAGTTAGACTTATTCCTCATCTAGAATATATTTTACTCAACTCAATACAGTTAACAGTTTTCTTAAGCCGAAAAAATTACATTATCTCCCCTTTCAAGTCTCCCATTTCTCACAGTAGATTGTAAACACCATAAAGACAGCCATGTTAGTGGTGGAGGCTGATGAATATTTCAGGGGTTTTGCTTGTTCACTGGCCAGCAGCTGAGAGCGAATGCTGAATAAACCACGGTCATCCAGCCAAGTTTTAATGGCCAGCACACTCGAGCCCTGTTCAGGAACTATTAAAATACGGAGAGGTCTAAGGTTATGGTGACTGAAGGAGGGGTAAGTAGAGGAGGGGGAAAGGGAAGGGAAGGGGTGGTGGTTCGTGTAGGAGGGAAGATAGGATTGATGGTGATGGTAAGAGAGGGAGGTGTGTTAGTAGTAGTGGTGGTGATGGTGGTGTAGTATGCGGAAGAGGGAGGAAAGGTGCGGTAATGGTGATGACAGGAAGAACAAGAGAGATTATGATCGTGGTGTTAAGGGGTGGTGATGGTGTTAGGGGGGTCGTGCTGGTGTTAATAATAAATGGTAGTCGTAGGAGGAGGGTTAATGGGGATGAAAATGATGGTGAATGGTGATTGGAATGGAAGTACGATGGTAGGACAAGTAATCTAATAAGTATTCGTCATGACAGTAATAATAGCAGTGATGGTAAGTGATTTATGATTAGAAGGGTCGTCGGATTATTAGTGGTGGTGGTGATGGTGGTGATGATGATGATTGTGGAAGTAATGGTTATTGTGAGGTCATAATGGTGATTGTCGTGGTGATGTTGGTGAGTTAAGCTCATGTTTGTAATAGTGATGATGAGTGCTTCCGTCTGCCATTCCCGTCCCGTCACACCGACCTTCTATTCCTCTCTTCCATATTTTCTTACTTTCTCTCTCCCACCCCTCCTTCCATTTTCCCTCCCTTCCTCCATACCCATCTTTATTTACATCCTTCCTTTTCCTTCATTGCCTACCCACCGTTCCCATTTCCCTCTCGCTACTCATCTCAACTCCCTCCGTCCTTCCCTCCGTCCCTCCCTCACTTCCTATCCCTCCTTTCATTTTCCCTCCCTCAGTTTTCATCCCTCCTCTTCCCTCCCTCCTTACTGTCTGCCCCTCCTCCCTCAGTAGTGATCATCAGGACTACCGGCAGTGTCCTCCACCATACTGCCTTTGACTGCACACGATACATAATTGCCCACTACTGCTTGGGTGTGTTGGCAATCATCCCCAGTGCCAGTGGCTCTGTAGTGTGGCACCAAGGGTTCTGTAGTGCGGCTCCGGTGGCCCTGTATAGTGGCACCAAGGGTTCTGTAGTGCGGCTCCGGTGGCCCTGTATAGTGGCACCATGGGTTCTGTAGTATGGTACCATTGGTAACAGTGCCTCATGACTGGTGCGAGTGAAACAGAGATAAAGAATGGCTTTATTCTGTGGTGTCAATGGCTCTGTGGTATGAGTGCCATTGTGAGTGCCAATAATTAACAGTGGCTCTGTAGTAAAAGTATCTCTTTCAGGAGGATGTTATTGTAGTGAAGTGTGTGTGTGTGTGTGTGTGTGTGTGTGTGTGTGTGTGTGTGTGTGTGTGTGTGTGTGTTAAATGCAACTCTGAATCACTGAACCAGCTTCACAAAGACGGAAAAAATATATAATGTGTATGCAAATGAAGAATACCTGATTTTCATTTTATTTAATATTTCGGTAAAATGGATAACATAAACTCCTAATACTATTGATGATGATGATGATGATGAAATGATGAATACGTTTCGTCATCTTAAGAACTTAATAGCATCACACAGACACACACCTCGCGCCAGTGACTCGGTTGCTACGATACCTACGATTGAATCTCAGTAAAGACTATAGGGAAAGCAGCTTTAGTAATAGGCTACTGATGAGATGAGTTAGCTTGTTATTGTGCGCTGGAGATGGGGAGACGATGAGGTGATTGGAGATTGGTCTCGACAGTGATTGGAGAGGGCGTGGGTGGGAGGTGAGAGAGAGAGAGAGAGAGAGAGAGAGAGAGAGAGAGATGATACTATAGTGTGGTGATGAGAGGGACGTAATATCTGAGGATTGTCTCTTATTGGTGAAGAAGATAAATCTCTCTCTCTCTCTCTCTCTCTCTCTCTCTCTCAGTGGTTCTCGTGGTTATTAAGGAACACCGTATTGACGTCTCCGGGCCAACGTCTACCTGCCGTCGAGTACTTGTTACCGTAGAGACTATGTGACTCACCTGCCACTCACTGCCTACACGAGTGACGAGTCCCATACAGCAGTAAATATGAGTGACCGAGGAGTGTCAGTGGCTGTGTGACGTCACTTAGATAATTAAAAGGGAGGGGGTGAAGACATGACGTCACTCAGATAATCAAAGGGAGGGTGAAGATATGACGTCACTCAGGTAATCAAAGGGGAGGGGGTGAAGATATAACGTCACTCAGGTAATCAAAGGGGGCGGGGTGAAGATATGACGTCACTCAGGTAATCAAAGGGGAGGGGGTGTAGATATGACGTCACTCAGGTAATCAGAGAGGAGTAGGTGAAGTTAGATGAGGAGAATCAGGTAACGTAGCCGAAATATTATAAGAGCAAAATATTACCAACACATAAAAATACAACTGTTAAAAGAAGTTTAAATAAAATGTGATAAATTGCGACATGAATCTGACTAACGAAGCGGAATCTTTACCAACAGACCAAAGGGCTAGAGGAAAATTGGGAAAAATAAAACACAAAAAAAAGCATAACACAAACACAACAATCCTTAGCGCTGTTCTCCCTAGGCCAAACACAACCTGGAATTCTGGTGTTGGTTTAGTTGCTAACAATCAATAAATTCACTTAACGTCTAGCTCGGCTGACGCTAATACCAGTCTCTGGGAGTTCCATGGCTCCTAGTTTGCATAAGCCGGATTTATTGGGACTAAACCTGAAGCACTATTGTATGGCCAACGTAAACATCATATGTGTCTACCGCTGGGGGGGAATTACAACCCGGATGTATGGCTCAATTTCCTCATGAAAGGTAGTGTTCTGAGAGAGGGGGGAGGGGGTTTAAGGGGGGTGAGGGGGAGGCAATCAGACCCAAGGTATTGAAGGAGAGGGAGGCTTTTGTCTTTAATAATTCAAAGGAAAGTAAAAAAAAGAAAATCCTATTATCAAGGAAAGACAAGAGAGAGAATGGGATATTTTCTTCCTTAAAATTTATTCTTGTTTATAAAATGAATTAAAGATGAAGGGAAAAAAATAGATGATAAAGTTGTAAAGGAAAGATAAATATATGAGATAGAAAAGAGAGGAATAATCAATAACAATAGTTGATTTATTACCCCCCACATCATCTGCATATAGTAGATCATTTCAACGTTGTCTGTTTGTTAGTCGTTCTGAGGGGGGGGGGGTGGGTTGTTTGTTTGTTTACTATAGATGTTTCTCTTGGACCGTGATAATTACCACTTCTACCACCACAACAACTATTATAAATATCACTACTACCACAACTACAACTACCACCACTATCATTCTACCACAACACCATAACAACTACCATCACTACCACTATTACCACAACTACAACTATCATCACTATCACTACCACTACAACAGTAACTACAACCACCACTGTGGCTGGTAGTCAGAGATGGTGGTAGATGGTGATTGTGGTGACTTGGTAGTAATGAGGGCGTAAATTACCAGCGGCTTCTCCAAACTATGTTAATAATGCTATCAGTCACCACCTAATGACTCTCTCTCTCTCTCTCTCTCTCTCGGTGTTATTCTACCTGGATTCCTCATCTACCTGGCCAAACGTCTTATCTAGTTGACTCTCTAATCTACCTGGATCCCTACTTTCTCTCGCTGTCTTCCTAATGTACCAGCTCCTCTCATCTACCAAACCTCCTCACCTATTAGGTTTCTTCATCTACCTATCTTCCTCATCTACCAATCTTCCTCTTCTACTGACCTTCCTCATTTACCTATCTTCCTCATCTACCTATCTTCCTCATCAACTTATCTTCCTCATCTACCTGTCTTCCTCATCTATCTGTCTTCCTCATCTACCTGTCTTCCTCATCTATCTGTCTTCCTCATCTACCTGTCTTCCTCATTTATCTGTCTTCCGCATCTACCTGTCTTCCTCATCTACCTGGCTTTCTCATCTACCTACCTTCCTCGTCTACTTATCTTCCTCATCTACCTATCTTCCTCATCTACCTATCTTCCTCATCTATCTGTCTTCCTCATCTACCTGTCTTCCTCATCTACCTGTCTTCCTCATCTATCTGTCTTCCTCATCTACCTGTCTTCCTCATCTACCTGTCTTCCTCATCTATCTGTCTTCCTCATCTACCAATCTTCCTCATCTACCTTCCTTCTATCTTCCTCATCTACCTGTTTATCTACCTATCTTCCTCATCTTCCTATCTTCCTCTCCTTCCTCTTCCTCATCTACCCTATCTTCTCATCTACCTGTCTTCCTCATCTACCTATCTTCCTCATCTCCATCTTCCTCATCTACCTATCTTCCTCATCTACCTATCTTCTCATCTACCCTCCTCTCTTCTTCCTCATCTACGTCTTCCCATCTACCTATCTTCCTCATCTACCCATCTTCCTCATCTACCCATCTTTCCTCATCTACCCATCTTCCTCATCTACCCATCTTCCCATCTACCATCTTCCCCATCTACCTATCTTCCCCATCTACCTATCTTCCTCATCTACTCCATCTTCCCCATCTACCTGTCTTCCCATCTACTCTCCTATCTTTATCTTCCCATCTTCTTATCTTCCTCATCTTCCATCTTCCCATCTACCTATCTCCTCATCTACCTGTCTTCCTCATCTACCCATCTTCCTCATCTACCCATCTTCCTCATCTACTCTATCTCTCATCTACCCATCTTCCTCATCTACCTATCTTCCCCATCTACCCATCTTCCTCATCTACCCATCTTCCTCATCTACCCATCTTTCCCCATCTACCCATCTTCCTCATCTTCCCATCTCTCCTCATCTACCTATCTTCCTCATCTACCTATCTTCCCATCTTCCCTATCTTCCTCATCTACCCATCTTCCCCATCTACCTATCTTCCTCATCTACCTATCTTCCTCATCTTACCTACCTTCCTCATCTACCTATCTTCCTCATCTCTCATCTTCCTCATCTACCCATCTTCCTCATCTACCTATCTTCCCATCTTCCCATCTTCCTCATCTGCCTATCTTCCCTCATCTTCCTATCTTCCTCATCTACCTATCTTCCTCATCTACCTATCTTCCTCATCTACCGTTCTTCCTCATCTACCTATCTTCCTCATCTACCCATCTTCCTCATCTTCCCATCTTCCCCATCTACCTATCTTCCTCATCTACCTATCTTCCTCATCTACCTATCTTCCCCATCTACTCATCTTCCTCATCTACCTATCTTCCTCATCTTCCTATCTTCCTCATCTACCTATCTTCCTCATCTACCTATCTTCCTCATCTACCTATCTTCCTCATCTACCTATCTTCCTCATCTACCTATCTTCCTCATCTACCTATCTTCCTCATCTACCTATCTTCCTCATCTACCTATCTTCCTCATCTTCCTATCTTCCTCATCTACCTATCTTCCTCATCTACCTATCTTCCTCATCTACCTATCTTCCTCATCTCTCTCTACCTGTCTCTCATTACCTATCTTCCTCATCTACCTACGCCCCTAACCGCCTGTCTTAATGGCACTACCGGATAAAGTCCCCCATTTTACGTCGCCATAAAACCGTGAGCCGCTATGTCTCTCTGATTGGGCCATCCCTGATATGCGAGTATGTCCGTGTATATGCTAGGGGATGTGTACCATTTAATACTGGGTGGGGGAGATAGAGGGGGTTGTTATATAAGTGATTGTGTGTGTGTGTGTGTGTGTGTGTGTGTGTGTGTGTGTGTGTGTGTGTGTGTGTGTGTGTGTGTGTGTGCTATCTTGTTCATGTCATGGGAGTATGCTAATATGTGAGGTATAACATGGGAGATTCGTGTACCGTTTAATACTGAGGAGGGAGTAGTAAGAGGAGGAGGGAGGTGGAGAAGGAGCAGTAGGAGGAGGAGTAAGTGGAGTAGAAGGAGCAGTGGGAGGAGGAGTAAGTGGAGTAGAAGGAGCAGTAGGAAGAGCAGGAGTAGCGGGAAGAGGGGGAGTGGTAACCGCTTATACGATGAAGGTTTATACAAATGCTTATCTATGGACGAATATCCTTTCTTCTGTGTGTTTACCCTGCTTATCTCTCTCTCTCTCTCTCTCTAAACTGCCATGCACTCAATATACCCATACAACTTCCATACAACTCTCACGTCACTGATTGAAAAGCTTCCAAAGTGAGGCAGGATGGCGCGTATACTGTACATATATTACAGCTTTGATTTAAGCTTTGAATACGTGTGTTTCTTGACTTAGG